CGTCAGAGATTTCACAGAATTACCTTAACCAGTTGCACAGAAGTAACACCGGGCCCAGCTTCTGTGACTGCTTTCTTCAGATCTTCATCACTCCAGCTCTTAGGAATATTACCAATAAACAGTCGGTGTTTTGCTTGAGATGGAGAACATTTTATCCTTTTCCCCTGAGTGATAGAGAGAGAAAGAAGGGAGAGGAGATGAGCATACATAGGGAGAAAGAAAATAATATAGTGGGAAGAAACTAGTGGTCCATGGATAAAGAACAATCCTCAACTAAAATGGTAAAGAAGCACATTACATTTAACTCAGCCTTGTTCAGCTTTTCAATGGCTTCAGATGCAAACTCAACATTTTTAAAGGTCACAAAAGCAAAGCCCTTGTTCTCACCAGAATCTTTGCCTTTCATTATTCGGACCTAGATATGAAAACATATAACGAAATTAGAGATTAAAAAGGGAAAAAGTAATATTCCCACAAACAGCCATAAAGCATACCTCGACCACTTCCCCAATAGACTCACAAAAACCTCTCAAGTCTTCCTCTGTAGTATCTTGAGAAATTCCACCAATATATACTTCTGAACCATGAGGAGGAAGGGCAAGAAGTTCAGCACGTTTTGGAGTCTCATGCTCATTCTCAACTTTAAATGCATTGGCAATGAGCCCTGTTCCTCCTCTTGTTCTTCTACTTCTAGTTTCATCTCCATTAGCAATGTCAGCCTCTTCCTCCTCTTGTTCTTCTACTTCTTCTGGTTCTTCCTCTTCAGTTAATTCTTCTCTACCTCTTCTACTTCCTCCTCTTCAACTCTTTCATACTCAATTTCTTCTTCATCCATTAACTCTCCTTTAAGTGGGGTCTCCATCAAAATCAGCCCGTTCAAAAGAATCAGTCGACTTTTGGCGGTCACTTGTTTTCTCAGGTTCAACTAGCTTAGGAGCTCCTGCTGCATTTCCGTTCTCCTTTGGCATCTTATTAAGTTACATATAAGATCACAAGAGAACTCTGAAGAAGCCAGCAGAATTCATGGGAAGAAGTATACAGTTAACACATGGTGGGCAAGAAAAAAACTCTTAAAAGGAATAGGAACATTCAGCCTTCAGCGGGCACAGGTCACTGTATAAAAATATAATGGGTTCTTGAGAAGTAGGTTTTGGTACCTATTGTCTATTTGCGCATTTTTCATTACTTTCGTAGATTTATAGTATTTAGGATAAAAATAAAATCGTTTAATTATTTTTAATGTAATAGAAGTAAGACATAGTTAAACCAATCATTAAATAGAAGTTCTCGTAGGAACGGTAATCTGGACTCTTATGTCCACTTTAGTACTTATTTAATTGAAAACCTACACTTGCTGTCACATCACAACAAGTTTTTGGTAATCTGACCATGGATTATTTTTGTTTTTAAATTATTTCTAACTTTTCTTTGATTTTTTTTCTTCCTTTTTTCATCTAATTTACTTGTTTTTCTTGATTTTATTGTCGGGCAATGAACAAAAAGAAGGAAAAGAACAGCAACAATAAAAATGAGAGATCCCGAAATCGATGATGACGACATGATTGTGGGATGCATCTTTGTCATGCGATGACTTAACACATGATATGTTGTACTTGCCGAAATTGATGAACGTAACTCGCAAGAGGGATTGTTTCTACCACTGGTCGTCAGCAAGCATGACTTGCCATTGGGAGAATTATGAGATCACCTCTATTGAGCTTCCAAGTACAGAGTGTGAACGCTGACCAAATGAGTTCGACCTATGAAAATGTAGGGCTATGCATTATATTGAGAATTGCATGTTATTGGACACTCCAAATGAATTTAAGAAATTCCTCGAAGCTGATCCACATACAGAAAATGATGAATACAACATGTTTTTTTTTTTTTCAGATTTTTGTTGGTCTGAAAATCAAAATAGGGGTAATTCCACTAATCCATGACTAGAAAGGAGACTTCCCATGAAAACTTTCTTGTACAATTGCCCGACACTTTGGATAATAGACCAGCCATTCAACTCAATAGAAAAACAACTAAAGAAAAAGATCTTGTAGAGAATGATGGATTAATCATAACGGAGGAAAACGAAGCAATGGCATTTAATGAAGTTGAAAGTATCATGAGATCCTCCGAATTTATTGTTTTCTTTAAAATTGATTTTTTGATTAAGTTAGATGAAGAAGTTGAAATATTCATACTTGAGTGCGAGTTACGTGGTATGTCAATTCATGCCTTTTTATCGGCAAAGTCAAAGTTTGAAGAACATCTTAAACATGATGAAAAGTCCACATACACAAAATAAGCAAGGCTGCCAGTCCTATTCAAAGTGCCGAGAAAATATTATTGCAAAAAGTTGGGCCAAGACTATAAACAACCACTTATTAGATGGAAACCCAATTTTCTATCCTTTTTTTAGTATTAGTTAGATTATATTGAATTTAGAATATGTTTGAATGTGCATTTAATAAAAATTTTAATAAAAAATCATAAAAAATAAAAATAAATTATAAAACCAAGCAAAAGGATAGAAAAATTAAAGGAAAAAGATAGGGTTTTTAAGATTTGGCATGGAAGGACGATTCCTGGTGCAAAATCTTCATTTTTTTTTTCGTTTTTCCTTATAAGTCAATGATGTACTCCAATTCTTTCTTATATTTTTTTTCTTCCATGATTTATAACTAAATTAATAGTTGGGATAAATGATATAACCTAGTTTTATTTTATTTTTTGATTTTTAATTGATATTTGTGTATTGTTTTTATTTCTTTTTTTCATGACTTTAAATTACTTTATGACTAATTCAATAATTTGTGAACATTAACAAATCGAGAGGTATTTAGATCACGTAGTAAAAAATGGAATTTGGGTAGGAGATATACACTTTTATTAATTTTGTGATCGTTAATTAAATTCTTTGGTGATTAAATGCTCTTGATTAAGACTTATCATAATTCACATAGATACATAATGAGTTGACTTAATTGAGTAGGATTCGTTTGAACTTGGGAATGTCTTGATTAGAATGTATTGTGTTAATTATGCCCAGAATCTCTTATACCAATTGTTGGGCATTAAAGGATCATGTATTGCTCGATACCACTTGATATGAGATTCATCCATCGGATTGAGATGTTGAAGTTATATGGCACAATAATGAAATATTTGATCACAGGCAAAAGAATAAAAGAAAATAAGAAAATATGGCGAAGAAATTAGGAGATTTTATTGCACACAAATAATGAAAATGGATAAATATTACAATGATCCTAAAAGCTAATCACACTATTGAGGCTAAACTATTATATATTCTCAAAACCTCACTCTTAAAAAGTTGAGAAGAGCCAAGTTTTTATAGGCAACTATGAAGGGCGCCTTCCAAACACTAATAGATGAGTTAAAACGTGAAAAGGGCTTGGGTCGGATAAGCATGTCGCTCAAGCACCAGGCGAGCAACCAAGTCTTGGATTGGTTTCTGCCAGTCCCACTTGAGCGTCCAGCTAGCACCAAACTAGCGAAAATGAGGCGACTTTTCTTCTCGATCCATAATTTCAACATCTTCAAGTCTAATACAAATTACAACTCCCAATATGGCTTCCAAATAGAATTTTAACATGAATAAGATTCCAATAACATTCCAAATTGAATTCCTCTTGACGTGCACTTCAATTAGAATTCTTCAATTATTTCAATAAAGAATTCGAGTCATACCCAAATTCTAACAAAATGATTGACCGGATATGTATAATTTAATTATTGTCTGAATTTGGTGATTGAGATTAACGGGATAACTATGGTGAACTTGTGAATTCTAATACTTTTCTTACATCAAGTAGAACCGTAAATTGTCTATTTGTGCAATATTTCATTATTTTAATCAAATGGTCATTGTGGAAAGGATAATTCAGACTCTTACTACTTTACTTTTTGTTTAATTGACATCGTACACTTGCAATAAATTCACAACACAAAACCTACCTGTTCGCAAAGAACATCCTTGGGAGAACTAAGAAGGCTCACCATAATGGGAATTGCGCCGTGATCAATCAGCATGTTGATCTTACCATATAAACAACTTGAAATCTTTCTTATAGCCAATGTTGCCTCACACTAGAAAAATGAATAACTCGATGTATCTAGCAATTGAAACACATGAAATAAACAAGAAGAAGCAATTAATAACACAAATTTAAACCTGAAGCTGCGGGTAATCATCTCTGTCAAGAAACTCAAAGAGTCGAGGAACAACTCCAGGTATTATTTCCTTAATTGGGTCTGTGGAAACAAATTAATTGAAAGCAAATGGAATCAGAGATATAAGAGATAATAACGTAAACAGTAACAAGATTAATATCAAATTAATTGGCTTCAATAAAGGTAAATTAATTGATTACCATGTAAAAGATATGTGTGAAACTTTTTTGTGGCCTTGAGTAGCAATTTATCGTCATTTGATCCACATATTTCAGCCTCCGCTCCCTTTCTCTGTTGCAATTAGAAAAATTAATAATGAAATTCAGATTTGGTTTCCAATAGAAGATTACTGTCTTCTTTTTGTACTTCTGTAACTAAAGTAAATGTGGTGAAGTTATCAGATATAGCTGCAGTGCAAGTCAAGCCTGAAGGCAGTAGGTCAGAGCGGAGGCATCACATTTCTATCCAAGGGCGAGATTGTATTCTAGGGAAGCTTTTGGATATATTTATGGAGAATGTGAGAAAGACATGGACTTCACGGAAAATTTACAAAATCCCCTTTAAGCGGAGAGTATGAAAATAACCATGAGCAAGAGAGACACTATCCTCGACGTATGATGATGAGGAGTATGACAAGGCACATGAAGTATAGTTCTTTAGATTTTATATTATATTATCTATATTCTGACAAGATAAGTTTATTTTTCTTAACTTTAACTGGATGTTTGGTTTATGTTTATTTTCTTCATTAGTAAAACATGCAATCTAGAGTGGTTTACAAGAATAATAACGAACGAAGTATGGCTCAAGGACCTGCAATCTTTCATGCAACGAACGAAGGAAACATTTTCTTGTGATAGAGAAATGAAGTGGTACATGCAATCTTTCATTACGAAGACCTGTAAATTTTCTTGTGATAGAGAAATGACCACATATCAGCAGCAGTATGGCTCAAGGAAACGTTTTTACCTTTAGACGGACGAAGTGGTACATGTTATAGAAACGAACTTGAAGGCTATAATTTCCCAAGTTCTCTTGTTCTTCTTTAATTTGCTTTGCCGAAATCACAACCGAAGGGCTGGCATCATCCAAGTCATTGGTATATCTCCAATACTACAAGGTATCTCCTCTAGTTTGAAACATGCTCTAAGAATTAGGTGCTCAAGTCTTGGGAAGTGAGCCTGATGAGCTCTCCATTGCACTAGATCTATTCCGTGAAGTAGCAGAAATTTTAGTTTGCAAAATTCTCCTTCTGTTGGTTCCCATTCTGTTCCGTCAAAGGCATTAGATCGCAGTTTGAGCACTTCAAGCTTGGGCATTGATCCAACAATAGTCATATGTTCCCAAGGAATTTCACAGCCCTTTAAAGTTAACTTTTTAATATTTGGTGGGAAAATGAAATTCATCGGGACACTCACACGTTCACGTTCACTTATTATTTCAAGTTCTCAAGTTGAGGAAGATTAACCAGGTTAACTAGAGAAAAGGATGTCATTCGTGATTTTGCTATCGAAATTCCTAACTTGTTTAGATTTGGAACTCTTTCGAAGACCTCCTTGGTACAGCTGGAACTACTCACTTTCGACAATGTTAAAAGGTTAGCTAGAACTATATTCTCCCCATCTATTGGTGATCTAGCAAGGGATGGCAAAAAACACATCCTGAACAGGAGATGCCTTAATCGTGGCATCCTCCATATTTCCTCTGGTACTTGTACTTCTTCACAATCTACAATTAAGGTCTGTAGATAGCAAAGAAAACTAGGTAATATTTTAGGTATGGAAATTCTCCCATCACAGGAAAAAGCGAGGTACCTTGCGTGAACTAATTTCATTCCTCCAATTGGGAAACCATCTACTTTTCCTTCAGCAAGATCCAACACCCTGATCAGTGGAAAAAGTTTTTGGTCACCTGATTCATAAATCTTGCTAGCCAAACGGGAACACAAAATAGAACGGACTGGTGGCAAGGATCCCATGGACGGATTGACATTTGAAGTGTCACTGTTTGACAATTCCTTGTGAAAAATATCTTGATGAATACACAGGCGACGTGAATACTTTATGCCTTTAGCAAAAATTCCGAAATCTTTATCTGTGACAGTGACATGAAAAAACATCTCTTGAAATTTTGGGCTTAACTTTAAGATAGCATTTATACACAGTTAATTACATATGTCGGCCCATCACGGGAAATTAAATAATTTCCCAACATAGCTCCCTTAACAGATCATGGATGCTACATGTTTTTATTTTTCCACTAGAACTCTTCTTACTAATCAAAACAAGATTTCTGGAAATTAGATCTCCCAAATATTCCTCTCCGACTTCTTCCAAGGTTTTACCTCTGACTGGTTTTAGAAATCCCTCTGCAGCCCATAACTTCATGAGTTTGGAGACACGGATTTTATCATTTTCTGGAAAAACTCTCATATAGAGAAAGCATGCTTTGAGATAATTAGGCAAGTAATCGTAACTTAGAGATAGTATTTCTGAGTAGTTTGCATCTGTTGAAGTTACAACTGGCTTGACATTTTGTGCAACATACTCCCAGTGATCTTTTGTCCTGTTGGCGTTGGAAAGGTGACCACCAATCACGACAAAGGAAAGTGGAAGTCCTTTGCAATTCTCTGCAATCTCCTTTCCAGCTTCCTCCAGTTCTAGAGGGCAACAATCTTCCCCAAACATCTCCCGACGAAGTAGATTCCAACTGTCAGTCTTATTTAGAAATTGCATACGATGGGAAGAGCTATGGGAGTCAACCACACTCAACAGCCTTGTTGTCAACATGATCCGGTTTCCAATCCTGTCGTCTGGAAATATCCTACTCAAAGAATCCCAAGCTTCAGTAGTCCAAACGTCATCCATCACAACAAGATACCTCCGACCTTTTAAACTTTTATATAGACACTCTTTTAATTCTTCAGTACTTTTCTCTTTATGCATCTCAGCATCAAGTTGTTTCGTGGAATCCAGAAGGCTCAGCAAGACTTCTCGCTCACGATATTCTTGAGATATTGATACCCAGGCACGAGTGGGGAAATGGTGTTCAATAAGTGGATCATTGTAAACATTTCTAGCAAGTGTGGTCTTGCCAATTCCTCCCATGCCAGTAACTTGGATGATTTGAAGAGCAGGTGGATATCCAGTAAGTCGATCCATTATTTCCATCAGATCTTTACGAAGCCCGACCATATCATTCTTGCCGATTGAAGGAAGTCTTGATTGTCCAGTTGGCAAAGAAGTCCTCGAGCTCTGGTGCATATCTGTTGCGCCCCACAATTCCTTAAGCTTAGCAGCCTTCGTCTTAATGGAATCAATTTCATCTGCTACTATCACGAAGTTTTCACTAAAAGTTTGGTCTCTGATTTGTCTTTCATGAAAACTTTCCTGACCAAAATTCTTTGATATATGGGATTCCATCATATCTTCAATTTTGTATGCTGCATCTCGAATTTCCCTTTCCAAACATCGTAGTTCCTCGCTCCTTCTCTGCCAAGAATCATCCAGAAAATCTAGTAAGAAATTCAATTTTTCCTGGAGAGATTTACTTACTGTTTGGGAGGAATTAAATTTTTCTACAGTAAATCAATTCTCATTTTCAACCACACATTCTTCAATAAAATAATATTTTCCATCACATCAATAATTTTATCTTCTTTTTCAACCACACATTTCCCTTCGTATCACTATTCAAAATCAATTCTTCCCTCAAAAATCTCTCCCAAACATGCTCTTAATGTGTTGGTCCTGAAGAGGAGTCTGATATTGTTCGAGATGAGGATTTGATATCTGCTCCAGAATCTGATGAAGATATACAGCAGCATAAGCCATCTCTGATTTTTTCACAGAATCTGATTGTGGTGGTCCTGGGAGGTGGAGGTGGAGGAATTGAGTGGAGGGAAGGGATGAAGAAGAGTGTAGAGAGAAAAAAAGGGTTGGGTCTTCGTGTATGTGCGTTCAAGTATTATCAAGCAATCATACAAGCTTTTTGTCAAGTTTCCAAGGAAATACACCATTTTGAGTCTGTCCAAAAGTTGAACAGCCACATTATATGATAACAAAACTTGTTACATCATACTAGACAATTTTTCTCTTTCCAAGAAAATATATATCAACTTGTATTGAAGAAAAATTCTCATTATCTAAAACTTTTTTTTTTCCAAACTCAATATCAATCATAGAATCTCACAATGAAATATTTTACACTTCAATTTAAAACTTTTAATCACATATTCTCCAAAAATTCATCATTACAAAACCAATTTAAAAAAATTAAACATATGCTGATTAACTAAATTATCAGAGGGGAAATTGCAGCTTTAGTACAGATTCTATACATTTAATAGAAAACATGTCCTAATTCTATTTCTTGTAGCATTCACATCCTCAACATAACATTTTTTATGCGCCATAGTTCCTGGTTGACGAAATCCATTTAGTTAACAGCTAATTTCCACACTACCACCATTTGTCATTGATTTTGTTAAAGATTTCAAAGCCGTCCCGTCAGCTCTTGGATATTACTTTTTCTTTAAATTTTACTAAAGAATTTAAAAATAATGTATTTTTAAAATATACATCCTGTCAATAGAATGGAATTTAATGAATTTACAACCATTTGGCTGAATTTATTCAATATTGCAGATATACAAACCTCGGTTTTGGTTTGCTAAAAATCATATTTTTAGTAGAGTTCAATAAAAGTTAATGAATTATGTGGTTCAAAAACTAATAAAAAATGGGGAACTATGAAATTTGTAGTTGGAAATGAGTTTGGAGAAAAATGAAAAACAAGGGCTAAATTTCTTTTTAACAGAGGAAAGGTGAAGTATCTTAGAAATGTTTTTCGAGCTTATAGATGAGGATTTGATATATGTTCCATAATCTGATCGAGAGATAAAAAAGAAGCATAAGCCATCTTTGATTTCTCCACAGTTGCAATAACATGAAATTGCAGCCCACATTAAGCAATCAGACAACCATTTTGTTAGGTTTCCAAGAAAATACCAAAGCAATCACACCATATTATTATATCATCAAAGCCTTATAATTGGGGATCGAAATAGTAAAAGTACTACTCCATCACCACCACCACCACCACCACCACCACCACATTAACAAAATCAAGAACTATAGGGCCTGTTTGGCTAAGCTTATAATAAATAATCAATCCACAGAATACGTTAGAGAAACTCTTGGGCTTCTCCTATTGGATCTTGACAACATTGACCTGTTGAGAAGAAATCAAGATACAGAAATGGATTTGTTTTTTATTTTTGTTTTTTTTCCAATGAAGGGCTGTTGATTTTCATTTTCAAAAATGGGAGAAAAATCATCAGTTATACAGAGAGGGGCGACCACCCTTAAAGAATTCCCAATCTCTCTGATCGCCTCATTCATCTAGAGGTGGCAATGCAAGCTCAACTCGTGCTCATCACGAGCCGAGCTTCGTCTCGCGAGCTTGACTTTTTTTTTTTTTTTCAAGATAAATCTTTTTTTAAAAAAATTTAAGATAAACCTTTTAAAAAAAAAGATAAATCATCCTCATTTATCCGGGTTTGGGCCCGACTACTTCAATTTCGAGTAGGCGGAATTAAAAGTTGTACAACAACTTGTTACATGTAAATGTTATTTATTGATCACAAATTAAATAAATAGTTGGTCACAAACTTTCTTCACCCCACCCAACCCCACCATCAACACCAATAGTTGGTTACAAACATCCAAATAGTTGATCACAAACACTCTTCACCCCCACCCCCACCCCACAACTGACACCAATAGTTGGTGACAAATTCCCAAATAGTTGGTTATAAACACTCTTTATTCCAACTCCACCCAAATAGTTGGTCAAAAACACTATTCATCCCACCCCACCATCGACACCAATCAAACGTCAAGCCACACAACCACTACCACCACCATTACCACTATCACTATTTGCAAACCACCAACAAAAACCACCTAAAACTCTGGCTAAGCAGCAAATCAGATGAGGAAGAAACCACCGCTTATTGTCCCGTCTTCGCCCTCGGCCACCATAGTTTCAACATCACCTCTCCAAATCAACAAACAAACCACCAATAGTCTCTACAAAAATCAAACTGTCGAGCTCACAGATTCAACCTAGACCACAACCCACCGCCTCCTTCACGCAATTGACATCTTTTGCAATCTCTCACCTTTCACCACCGTTCTCCACCTCCGCCCATAGTAACCACCAATTGTCGTCGACACCTCCTCATTCTTCGATAACCTAATACACACCATCATATAACAGACGACGTAAGCTCCATCGAACGCCAGTCCATCAGCTCCATCCACCATTACACATCCTTCCATCGCCACTTCTTCGAACCAAACCGTTGCTGCCTAAAATCACCTCTAACTATTGCAGCAACGATGCCATCATCACCACTACTGCAGAGGGATGAGTGACAAGTCGTGAGCATCGGGCATCGTGCGAAACTGCTTCACAGTGGCTCACTGCTCTCAAAGTGACGCCATTGCAACGACATCGTGAACGTCACACCAACAATGCCTCCGATGATAGTGTATGGTAAAGAGAAAGAAGAGAGAAGGTAGAGATATAGAGGAAGGGGTTGGAAATGATTAGGGTTAGGAAGTAATAATTTGGTGGGGGTGGGTGGAGGTATGGTGGGTATATAAATTAATTTATTTGATAATATTATTATTAATATTAAAATGTGGAATTAAAACTTGATTTTTGTATAAACAAACCTTAAACTAGATTCTTGAAATTGGAACTTAAAAAAACGACCTTCCTATAATTTCCACTTAAAAATATTACAGTAATCCAAACTTCAAATTCGATAAGTAAGAAAACAAAAATACTTCAGTGATTGATAAGAGATGTAATACCCAAAACATAGAGGTTATGGGCTGGCTTGACATTCATAGCTCTATTAGCATCATCGTCATAGAGGCTAAGTCCTTAGAGACTTCTCTTTTCCTAGCCATAAACTGATCAGGATAATAAGTTAAAGGTATTCAAGCGTCAAACCGAACCCACCCCACCCCACCCCACCCCACCCCCACCAATTTCTTTCGCGCTAGGAGCCTTTCCTAGGTTGTGAGGCGACAGTGCGTGTTGTTGATAGGTAGCTCACCCCTTGAAATTTGTCAGCTATACACAACGCTTTCATTTCCTCTTTTATATGTCACTCCCCGGTATATTACTTACATTACTTGCTTGGTGAAGCATGATCTAGGCCATTAAATTCGATAAGCGTATTTTGTACACTTATCTAAGCCATTAAATTATAGTATTTGTTAGTAATTTGAACGAATTATAGTTAACTTATGTGTTAATTATGTTTGTTAGGCTGAACTCAATGTAAATTGAATGAACTTGAAGAAAGGAGCAAAAAAGGACAAAAAAGATAAAATCCAAAATTTGGAGACCAAAGTGCAAACATCCAATAATTTATTCGAACCATAAAATGATTATTGAAAATCATATATGATCAATTGGATGCAATTAGAAGTCAAATGAGAGAAATATAGCCAAAGTATTCTCATAAATCAATTTCTAGCGATAAAAGTTTTGCTCCGAATTTTTAGCCTCAGATTAAGACACATTTTCAGATAGCAAACGTTCAAATATGAGAAATGTTATTTCGAGAGTAATTGTAATCATTTGAGTTAGATTTTCAACACACAGTGATTCACCCAATCGGATATTGGGAGAGAGTTATGTCCAAAATATTAAATCGCTACTCAGGGACGAAATATTGCAAATCGACGCCGCACCAACTCACTAAAAAATCACCCTTGAGAAATTTCAATAGCCAGTGCAAGGTATTTCTGGGACCAATGCTGCATCCGTTTTAAAGTGAAATTCTTCTTGGATCATGATTTTGACGATATTTTTCTATTGTTCTTTTTTTTTTTTTAATTTATATAAATTCATATTAAGCTATATCTCTTTTTTTATTGGATGAAAATGAAACATATTATTTATTTATTTTAATTCAAGATTAGTAGCTTAACATTTCTTATATTTCTTGATTAATTTTGCATACTCATTGCATTATTTAAATGTTTGGACATCAATTAGATAATTAGTTGATTATTGTAATGTTGAGAGACTTACAATAAGTTTAAAACACGACAAAATTAAAATTTACAATAAATATTATGAATGACATTTATCGCTATGTAATCATATAGGTAATCTAAAATTTAATACATTTTAATCATTCGAATTCGTGATAAGAATAGACTCATATCGTAATTAGAATAGAATTAATTTATTTTGAAAAAGAAAGTTAAATGTATTAACTTTATCGACTGTCAAGAACGCATCAACACGACTAGATTACAAATCAAGAATTGAAATAGATAACAATAGGCGAACTCTAAATCCAATACAATCATCCATAATTTCATATAAACCCTAGTTTTACATTAATTTTAGCATAATCACAAATCAAAACTCTTTGGTGTTGCATAATTCAAATTTCATACATAACTAGTACACTTGAATTAGAATTTATTCTTTGTGTGACGATAACTCTCAACAAACAAATTCTATTATTTATCAACGATCTCGTACACTTGCTGGTTTCGCACCAATAGTAATCCTAAATCAAAACTATATAAAAAATAATAATAAAGTAGCACACTGCAATCTATGATTGTCGCATAAGCTTTAAACAACATTCCTACAACAAAATAATAGAATATTTAGGGGAATAAATATTAATAATACAGTGATAAAGAGTTGTTATGATGCAAAAATGATGCCACTTAAATAACAACTGCAAGATGGCCTAAGTTTTCATCTTTATGGATCAATAAAATTTAATGCTATATATGTTATGTGACTAAGTTTTTAAATAAGAAACTAGGCAGACAACTTCATCCAAAACAATATTCTTCCAACGTCTTCGAATGCCCTCCCTCTTTAAAGCACCAAAATGGTCTCACTCACTCACCTCTCCAAGGTTTAAAAAATGCATAAAGATCACTTGACAATAATTATGGGTTGGTTTAACTAATGCAGAAACAATTGGACAAAGTGCAAAATGAAGAAAAAATATTCAGAATTCAATCTAGTTCAACGCTTGAATCCAGAAAATTGACATTAAATCTTCAGTTTTAAGAATACAGAATCTTAAGTCAAAAACTTTAAACTTGAGTGTTCAGATTTCAGTTTTTATAAACACCCCCTTCATATATCTCCAAGACCACATGAGCTTGTTTTTTGTTCTCTCCAATAATCAAGTTATATGCTTCAGTGAATCTTGATTGTCATTACTTACCGGCATATTGTCGTGCATATTGGGGTGGCCATGCTTACTAAATCTGCCTGCAGCTATGTGCGATACATGTACAGCTCTCCTATAGGATTTTGGGAGGTGCTAGGAGGTTCATTAGCAAAAACACAATTATTCCACTTATAAATCCCGAATGAACATACAATGTGGTTTAGGATGTGATTATTTCTCTGAGTAAAACTTCAATCTTCAATTAGAATGAAATCATCATTCATCACAATTCAGGATGACAAAATTTTCCTCAAGTGGCTGTTAACAATTAATTAGTTTCATCTCTAAATACAAAACTCTTCTGATTATTAGCATTCACGGCCTATTCCGACAACGCGCCAAGCTCTAAAGGAAACGCCTTTCTATTCTCTCGCCTTTCGGCATCCGCTCCTACTTCGTAAGGAAGTTGAGTCCCTTCTTCCTTGGCTACTTACTTTGCTAGCTCTTTCTGTGCTTCGGTTTACCTTGTGACTACGGTGGGAATGCTTGCTTGATTAAGAAGAATAATTTTTGAAATGAACGCCCGGATAAAGAGAAAATATCCCCTCCCTTTTCCTAAACCATGAAACCATGGGGAGCCCCGAGTAGTTTACCGAACAAATTGAGTTGTCGTGACGATACCTTTCTTAGTGGGAGATCGGAAAAGACTTCTCTTCATCACGAGACTGATCGGATCTGCTCTCATCTATTTACAGCTTGCTGCTCTATAAGTAGAAATCAAGTTCTGTGTTTATGTGACAGGCTATATTGAAACATAATTTTTAAGTAGTGGACAGATAAGAAATTGGAACGAGCAATTTCAACTTCTCTAGTTACTCAGGTGTTTAGTGTCTTAAGAATTAAAAAAAAAAAATTGAAGTATTTACTAATGCAAATGTTGGACTTGTGAAGTAGAATTGAATTATCCTCTGGACAAGTCAGGCACATTTGCACAATTGACTATGGGAGAGAAAAATTAAAAAAATAAAAAACCCCACAAAACTACTTTTTAATAATAATCAACCAGTTTGGATCAAGAAACTACAAGACAATTTAGATACCCAATAAATTCTTCAACTAGAATAAGGAATAGAAACTACATTTCTATGCCACATCGCTTAAATCAAACTACCTTCAATCTATAATATTGGAAATATCTCACTAAATAGATGATTAACATAAACATTTGTGAATGAAAGAGGTTTCTTACTGTTTCCTTGAATTACAACATGCCAAGATGGTGTACATGATATGGAAATGAAGAAGCAATTCAACTAGAAATATACAAGTATGATGAATAAGAAAAAGCAGCTCCAGATTTCTTGAGAAAAGAGAATGAACCAGGAAACATCGAGTAAAATGGAGCCCAAGAGAAGAACAGCATATGTCCTGCTGAAATGGAGTACATGATATAGAAATGGAGTACATGAAATTCAACAAGAAATATATAAGTATGATGAATAAGAGAAAGTCGCACCAGATTTCTTGAGAGAAGAGAATGAAACAGGTAACATTGAGCAAAATGGAGCTAAAGAGAAGAACAGGGTATGTACTGCCGTCTCTGGCTACTGCTCTCAATGGCGAGAAGGCCGAATAATGAAACTGCCAAATTAACAAGCAAGAGCCCGGTGTAAAAGATCCATATTCAATCTTGTAACACTTGGATATGTATTATTCTACATAAAAATTATCATTATCTTGTCAGTTTTGTAATCCCATTAAATAAATAGTTTAATATAATGGGTTAGTTTTATAACCATATCCATGCTTATTATGGAAGGTGCAATCACTTGATTCAATCAGAGATTGATTTTCACAAAGTCAGAATTCATCACTCTTCTATATCTTGAAGAGTCCAAGGTTAAAATCAATGCAAAAGATTTATCTTTGAGCTTTGTCAATGTTAATACAACTCAAGCTAACAACCAAAAAGATAAAAACTTTTAGACAATAAAATCAACCATAAACAAACAGTGTACATTTCAAGAGGAAAGAAAAAAATAGGTTGCACCATAAACAAACAGTCAATAAAGAGTTGCACTGTACTATCTGTCGTTTAGCCAAACAACATAGGTTGCCCTTTTCTAACAGTGAGACTAAAGCTTCACATCAATTTGAAATCATTCATTGTGACATTTGGGGACCTTATTCAGTCCCCTCCTTGGATGGTTCGAAATATTTTCTAACCATTGTTGATGATTTTAGTAGAATGACATGGACTTACCTTATGAGGGAAAAATCACAGACTAGGACTCATATTCAGTCATTCTATTACCTCATTCAAACTCATTTTCAATGTAATATCAGAATCATTAGATCTGACAATGGTCTAGAATTTCAAATGACTGATTTCTTCCTTTCAAATGGAATTATTCATCAGCTGAGTTGTGTTGAAACACCTCAGCAAAATGGTGTGGTTGAAAGAAAGCACCAGCACCTACTCAATGTTGTCAGGGCTCTTAAATTCCAAGCTAGTCCACCTGATCATTTCTGGGGTGATTGCATGTTGACAGCCACTTACATCATAAACAGAACACCTACTATACTTCTTACAAATAAATCACCCTATGAAGTATTATTCAAAGTCATACCGTCTTATAATACTCTCAAAGTTTTTGGGTGTCTCTGCTATGCATCAACCTTGAAGAGAAACGGAACTAAATTTGATCCAAGAGCCATCCCCTGCATCTTTATTGGCTATCCCTTTGGAATGAAGGCATATAAACTTTTCAATCCCCAAACTAAAGCTGCCTTTGTCTCCAGAGATATCCTATTCTATGAAAATGTTTTTTCTTTTCATAACCCTGGCTTCCTTGCTTCCCTATATAAATCTAACACTATCAAATCACCTTCATATACTCTATTCCCCATGACCACTAATTCAAATGCCAATGAGTCTTCTAACAATTCAGAACCATTAGAACATCAAAGTCCTCAACATCCCATCCAACCATCTTCTGACATATCTCCCTCTTCATCTATAGAACCTAATCCACCTTTATCTGCAGATCTTTCACTACCTCACATCATTCCTACAAGGAAATCCACTAGACCAAAATGTGCTCCTCTGTATCTACAAGACTATCACTGTAGTCTCATGTCTCAATTGCCAAATCCTCGATCAAATCCCATGAAGAAAGATTCTAAGTTTAGCAAGCAATATCCCATTGAAGATTATCTGAGCTATACTTTGTTGTCTCCTACTCAACAGAGGTTTCCTTTGGCTTTGTTTGCTGCTTTTGAGCCCAGAAATTATACTGAGGCTTCACGGTATCTTGATTGGGTTGAAGCCATGGATGCTGAGTATAAAGCATTGGTGTCAAACAACACCTGGGATGTTACTGCACTACCTGAACATAAGACCCAAGTAGCTTGTAAGTGAGTTTTTAAGATTAAAATAAAATTTGATGGCACGGAGGAGAGGAAGAAAGCACGCCTTTACTAAGCAAGCTGGATTGGATTATGAGGAAACCTTTTCTCCCGTTGCGAAATTAGTAACTATTAAGACACTATTGGCTGTTGCAGCTCATAAACGATGGCATCTTCACCAACTGGAAATCAATAATACTTTTCTACATGGGGCATGGGGAATCAGATGAGGAAGTTTATATGCTTATGCCTCCAGGTTAAGAACAACGGGGGGGATGGTAAACCTCTGATTTGCAAGCTAAACAAATCTATTTACGGTTTGAAACAAGCTTCGAGAAATGGTTACTTCTTACATTATGTCACAAGGCTTCAGACAGTCTAAGTCTGATCATTCCTTGTTTAGCAAAACAGATGGCTGCTCATTCACCACACTTTTAATATATGTGGACGATATAATAATTGGGGGAAAATGTTTGTCTTACATCGAAAGGTTAAAAGCTGAATTAAACAAGCAGTTCAAATTGAAAGACTTAGGAATTCTGAAATACTTCTTGGGTCTTGAAGTGGCAAGAAATTCAACATGAATTTCCATTTGCCAAAGAAAATATACGTTGGATGTTTTAACTGATGCTGGATACCTTAGTGCAAAACCAACAAATAGTCCATTACCATTCAATCTGAAATTGAGAAAGGAAGACGGTGAGGCCATTGCTGATCCTAGTGTTTACAGAAGACTTGTGGGGAGAATTCTATACCTCACAATCACTAGACCTGACTTGTCTTATGCGGTCCAAGTCTTGAGCCAATTTCTCCAATCGCCTAAACAACTTCATCTAGAGGCAGCATATCATGTACTAAGGTATTTGAAGGGCACACCACGGTAAGGGCTGTTCTTTCCTAGCAAAACTGATCTTCAACTCAAAGGGTACTGCGATGCTGATTGGGCAGCATGTTCTAATACCAGAAGATCTATTACAGGATATTGTATATTCTTGGGGGATTCTTTGGTGTCATGGAAGTCTAAAAAACAGTACACCGTGTCAAGATCCTCTGTTAAGGTAGAATATAGATCTATGGTTGCTGCTGTATGTGAGCTTACATGGCTGAAAAATATCTTGAATGACTTAAGTATTGTTCATAGCAAACCTACCTTACTGTTTTGCGATAGTCGGTATGCTATACACATAACAAGTAATCCGATTTTTCATGAAAGGACCAAACATATAGAAATAGATTGTCATTTGGTAAAGGATAAGGTTCAAGTCAATGAGGTAAAGATGCTGCATACTTCATCTCAACGGCAATTGGCAGACCTATTAACTAAACCTTAGGCTAGAACGAGATTTGGCCCACTTCTTGGCAAGATGAGAGTGTTAAATATACACTTGCCATCTTGAAGGGGAGTGTTGAGATATTAGAAAAACTTGAGGTTATTTATGTCATTTTATTATCTTCCACTATGTTTTGGTAGTTACGATTTGTATACATAGGGGATTTCATTCTATTGTAATTCGTTTGATTCATTGCCTCAATTGAATAAATAATTTCTCCCGCCTTTCCCTCTCTCTCAAATCAAATCTATAGTTCACATTTCTACAGATGGGGTGGGCATAACATTGCCACCAGCAGAAGTACATTGCCAGACCCAGATTTTTACATAAAGCGGAAGCCTTTAAAGCTAAGAAAAGGCTAATCGTGTCTTATTCTTAAGAGGGTAACTGCTAAAATATACAGGTGGAAACATTTTAACTCACCACAGAGATCAGTCTCAATCATCATATCACTATTTGCAGCATGATTATACTCGAAAATTGAGTCCAACCAACAAAAAGAAGCTTAGGGTCATACAAAGTACATATGGTTTTTGGACTCAATTTGATGCACCTTGTCGTTCTTAAAAAAAGGTAATTAAGGAACTGGTTGTAGGTCTTTAGTAGCAGAAAACCAATAAGAGGCGGCAGGGAGTCATAAAAAGTTCAGACTATACCATACAACTCTGAAATGTGCAAGAAATATAATTTTCAAACTGACTTGATTCACATATCACTAGTTCATTGCTACATAGCTTCGGTAACGAAATTAACTCAACCCCAAACTCCAGTACAAACTTTCTACCCAAAAAAGTTACAGCACATTTACAACATAAATATCAGTACATTCTGCCTCTAAGTTAATTCGTATTAGCTTACACATATCAACACAAACCAAAAAGGCCCAAAACAGTATAAAAAAGAACAGAATTAAAATCGTTAATATCAAAAAATACACACAGATGGAGGGAGACAAACTTACAAGCAATAGGTTGGAGAGAAGACTTGAAAAGAAGGAGATTGAGCTTGGAGCATGTTTCTGAAATTGGGTTATTGAAATCTTGACGCCACTCAACTGGGATGTAATAAACCAAATAAATGGAATTCTATGGCTCTTTAACTTTTTATGGTTCTGAATTCAATCAGAATAGGAAGAAAATGTAGTAAAAATCCAGTAAATTATTTTGAAAATATGAGAAAGTTAAGAAAAAGCCTTGAAAGGAGTAAGAATAGGGATGTCTTTCAGATCAGTGGCTGCCACAAGGGAGGCTAGGTTTCAACGCTGTGAGAGAAAGAAGGGGCTTCACGCTTGATTTCAGAATAGGTTTCACATTTTTTGATTTCGGATTGGTTTGGTTTGGAAGGGTTTGACCAGTAAACCAACCCCCGACTCACATAATTTCACGTTATGTTACTAGTCTGTAACATATAATCCTGCTTGAAAAACATACATGCGTGCGTTTTCTTGTAGATGATTAGTACATCTACAAGATTCTTGATCAACTGCTAACAAGAGCATGCACAAATTATAAAGGGCTGTGCAACTCCACATAAAGAAGAGTGAGAGAAATGAAGGTACTACAAGTATCAAGATCGCTGCTTAAACCTCAAGTCTTAACCAGATCCATCCAACTGCAATGGACTTGGCATCCTCTTAGTAACAAATTCAGCTTCCTTCAATTTCCCTTCAGCCTCAAGAGTACTTCTCAAGTCTTCTTTGCAGCCCAAAGGTTGTTGAATTCCCTTCTCTAACATCTTGTAGTAAAGGTCGAATGCTTCAGATGCCCTCTGGGCTTTACAAAGACTCGTCAAAACTTGACTATATATAGCCTCGTCAATGTTATGATTATTTTTTAGACTAAAACCAAGCAATTCATGTGCCTCCATCAACTTTCCTCCATCACAAAGGAATGAAATTAATTCTTCCATGCTCAAGACATAACCACTCTCATAAAGACTTCTAGAAACCTCAAATGCCTTATCCCGTAAGCCACACTTGAAGAGAAGCTTAACGGTGTCTGTTGAGAGATCGATGTTTTGTCTGATCTCTTTCTCTAACATTAACATCACTAAGCTAGCAGATTCAAGAGCAGAACCCTGCTTGACAAGTTCCGTGAGAATACGATGGAAAGTAGATGATCTAGGAAGATAGGAGCTTACCAACATCTTTTTTAAAGTATCATGGGCAAGATTTGGCTCACCATTTATCAACAGAGCTTCAATCAGGGAGTTGTAAGTCTCAAGATCAGGCACCAAATTTCTTCTCAACATTAAGACCAAGAGCTTGTGCCCAGCTACAGAGGTTCCTTCCTTGCAATGCCCCAAGATCAAGGTTCTATATGCCGAAGGATCCTGTATTCCTCTACGCATTAGCTGCCTGAGAACTTGCTCTGCTTTCTTCGTTTTCCCATTTCGACAAAGATATTCAAAAATGGGATTGTATGCTGCAACAAGGGGAGTGCACCCATCATCACATAACAGAATCTCCTTCGCCAATAACTCATCAAGCAACTCGGCGGCCCTCCCAAAATCCAACTTCTGGCACAAACCCCGGATCAGCACACTGTACGAGGCTGAATCTTGTTGGACCTTCAGCTCCTTCATTTTCTCAAAAACTTTAAATGCCTCACTCAAATCACCCACTTTGCAATGAGCATTCATCACCATGTTAAAAGTGCATGTATCAGGCACAAATCCCCCAAGCCACCCTTCTAAAAGATCTTTTATCTTATCGAACATTTGGGCTTCGCAAAGCCCATTTATAATTGTATTATAAGTGATCTCATTCGGCTTAATCTCGCTATCAACCATCTCCCTCAAAACATCTAACATTATGTCAATCTCTTGGTTCTTACAATACCCTCTAACCAAAGTGGTGTAAGTAACAACATTCGGCTTCAAATTTTCCCCCTTTAGACACATACCCTTTACCACATTGTGTGCAGTTGTCACTTTCCCTGCTCTACACAACCCTTCAACAATCGTGTTATAGGTTATCAAATCTGGTTTGCAATTAAACAGCTCCATTTCTTTAAAGAACCTAAATGCATCATCCATCCTCGAGTTCATACAAAACCCTCTTATCAATATATTAAACGTGTATAAATCGGGCTTTGCACCAAAAGTCCTAAGCATTTCATCATAGAACTCGAAAACCATTCCCGTCCGACCTCTTTTGAGCAAAATAAAAAACAAATTATTAAATGTAAACGTAGAAGGCGAAATACCCATTGATTTCATGGTTTTGAACACCTTTATTGATTCCATGAAAAGCCCGGCACTACCATAGCTCCGAATCAAGCTGTTGAAAAACTTGTCAGTGAGTGGTATAGTATTGTTGGATTTTGTTGGAATAGACAGGAGGAAGTTTCGAGCTGAATTCAGGTTTCGGGCCCGACCAAGAATTTCGAGCATGAGGAAGTAGGAATGCTCGCTGGGGGTGAAACCCGTGTTACGAGACCAGTTGAAGAAGTGGAGGGTGTTGGCAGGGGCCTTGATGAGGCGGAGGGTTTGAAGGAAGCTTGTCTCGGAGAGGGGAGTGTGGGTGGAAAGGGAGGATTCAAGCTGTACTGACCAGGGCTTTGTATTGATGAGCAGGGCCATTTTTCGGGCTTTCTTGCTTTTAGTGGGTTTGGCCTTTTGATGGTGGATATCATCTTCACAGTTGTTGGGTTCAGCGACAGCGGAAGTGGTGGCAGTGGATTGTTCGGAGAATAAGTCTTTGAGATTTGAAGGGACCGAGGATGAGAATGTGCGTGCGTATTTGGAGAGAGGGCTTTTGGGGCTAGTGTAACTTTGGTATCGTGAAAACGGAAAGAAGCCCATGAAATGGGATTGTAAGCATATCGGTGGTGCCCAGCGCCGTCGCTACTCCCACCTCCTCTTTCGACCAAGTAGAGAGAATTTACCTGGAGGTCAAAGTACGAATGTAGAAAAGACCGCTTAGTACAACTTCTCAGGCCCCTGCCAGACCCGGGGGGCCACATTTTTTTTTAAAATACATTTGAGTGGGACCGCGCTACATTGAGGGGACCTGTAAGGCCCTATGAATTATTCAAGGATTAAACTATCTCTACTACTACATGGTTTACTATATTGCCAGAAGGCGGCCATGTATTGGAGCCTCAATTGCCATTTTGTAAACTATGTAGTGCATGTAGCATCACCCATTATTCAAAGATTTAGGCAAACCTGCATAGCAATGAAAAAAAAAAACTCGGCAAATTCGATACTCGCGAAGTCCATCCCGAAGGGGATGGAGATTACCTACTTAATCGGGTATTCGGATCGGGAATGCGGCGGGGAAGGGTGCTCTCCTACCCCCCTTTAATTATTATTATTTTTTTTTTTTAGAATTCAATAATTTAAATGAAAATTTCACGAAATTTTATTAGTTCTAATAAAAAAATGACAATTAAAATTATTTGTCCCTGTGTAATAAATAAAGGTAATAAAATAAATTATCAAAAACTTTTTTAAAAAATTAAACGAGGTAGTAAACGGGACAACTATCAAGTACTTTCGTGTGTTTGGCAGCAAGTGTTATATAATAAGAGATAGAGAAAATTTGGACAAGTTTGATTCTAAGAGTGATAAGGGAATCTTTCTAAGTTATTCTAGAAATAGTCGAGCCTATCATATTTACAACTATCGTAGACGGGTTGTGATGGAGTTCATCAATGTAGTAGTGGATGATGTTTGTAGTGAGGGGAGATTGGAAGTAAAGGGGTGGAGATGGAACACCTGAGTGTTGATCATGTCATGGTAGTTGAACCTAAAGAGACCCCTGTTCGGATTCCCCACGTGCTTCTAATGGTTTAGATAGTCCTACTAAGGAATTCACATCTTATGATAAACCTGAAACTCCTAAAGAACTCTCGTCCTGCATGAAGACGAATCATCATAAATTGAATATTATAGGGGATTTGGATGAATGGATGAGACTCCGTAAGAGGGTTTTGAGCAATTTGACGTATTCTAGTTATGTATCTCAGACTGAGCCTAAGAAAGTGGAAGACGCTCTTAGGGATGAATTTTGGGTTAATGCGATGCATGAAGAACTAATCAGTTTGTGAGAAATAAAGTTTGGAATCTAGTTCATAGGCCTGATGATTGTAATGTTATAGGTACTAAGTGGATATTTAAGAATAAAACCGATGATCAAGGTATTATAACTAGAAATAAGGCTAAGTTAGTAGTCCAAGGATATACTCAGGTCGAAGGAATTGATTTCGATGAAACATTTGCCCCGGTAGCTAGGCTTCAATCCATTAGAATTCTTCTGCCTGATGCCTGCACTTTATGTTTTAAATTATATCAAATGGATGTCAAGAGTGTCTTCTTGAATGAAGTATTTCAGGAAGAAGCCTATGTTGAACAACCTAAAGGATTTATTGACCCTAAATAGCCACATTATGTTTATAGGTTGAATAAAGTTTCATATGGTCTGAAACAAGCTCCCAGAGCTTGGTATGATAAGCTTACTACATATTTTCATAGAACATGGTTTTTTGAGAGGTGGTGCAGACAGAACCCTATTTATAAGACGACTTGAAGATACCATCACGATAGCTCAGATCTACGTCGATGACTTTATCTTTGATTCTTCTGTTGATTCTCTTGTTCATGATTTTGATGAGTGTATAAAGTAAGAATTTGAGATGAGTATGATTGGAGAATTAAATTACTTTTTAGGGCTTCAAGTTAAACAAGCTGATGATGGCTTGTTCATTTCTCAATTGAAATATGCAAAAAATCTTGTCAAACGTTTTGGATTAGACAACATGAAACATACTAGAACCTCCACGAACACCAGTCGAGTTAGGTCATGATCCTACAGGTAAGAGTATTGATCAGACTCTTTACAGAAGTATGATATATAGTTTACTTTATCTCACTGCTAGTAGACCTGATATAACTTTTAGTATAGGGGTTTGTGTACGCTTTCAGGCTGATCCCAAGGAATCTCACATGAGTGTTGTACGACATATCATCAATATGTCAATGGGCCTGTAGAATATGGGATCCTGTACTCTCAAGACTCTAAACTTGATCTTGTTGGTTATTCTGATACAGATAGAGCTGGCTATACTAATGATAGAAAAAGATCATCAATATGTCAATGGGACTGTAAATTATGGGATCCTGTACTCTCAAGACTCTAAACTTGATCTTGTTGGTTATTCTGATACCGATTGAGCTGGCAATACTAATGATAGAAAAAGCACTTCTAGAGGCTGGTTTTACATTGGAGTCAATCTTGTTGCTTAGATGAGTAAGAAACAAAATTTTATCTCATTGTCCACGGCAGATGCTGAATATATTGCAGCAGGAAGCTGCTGCATTCAACTGCTTTGGATGAAACAGATGTTGAGTGACTATGGTATTGACAAGGGTACTATGACTTTGTTTTGTGATAACACTAGTGTTATTAATATTTCCAAAAATCCCGTTTAACACTCTCGAACCAAACATATTGACATACGACATCATTTTATTCGAGAGCTTGTGGAGACTTGTATTGTAACACTTAAACACATTTCTACCGAGAGCCAATTAGCTGACTTATTTACAAAACCATTAGATGGTCTGAGATTTGAATTTTATCGGACGGCTATTGGTATTTGTGTGCCTCATTGATTCGGTATTTTTGTTGCATGCTTGTTCGATGCCATTGTGTGAAATTGATTTATGCATCATTTCTTTATTTTCTTTTACTTTTTATTGTCCTTCCTTTTGTTTGAGTTGTCATTTTATCTTTTGTTGTATTCCATGCTTCCTTTTTTTCTACAAAAAAAAAAAAAAATCAAAAAAAGGGAAATGAATTTTTTTGATGAGGACATTACTTTTTTAGCTTAACGTATGGGGCTAATCGATAAACTGTATCATGGTTTCTATTACTGGTTTAGATTATTCATGGAGTACTTAGTATAGAAGTCTTCATGTACCTTCTGCACTGCACATACTATGAAATTGTTCGTGGGACTCTAAAGCGTGTGTGAGGCTTGGGATGACAATCACATGTTACTAAGGTAACTTTGAACATAATTTGACCATATGTATTAGATATAAGCTCAAGTTTATCCCTAATACTATTGAAAAAGTAAAAACAAAAATAAATATTTATACAAAGAGCTCAATATCTTATGTTTTTCTTTGGAGCCTATCTGACTCGAGTAATTAAGCCTGCGGAGTGTCTCATAACCTGGTGCCTATGGTCAACTGACTTGGGTTGACCAGCCTAAAGCTCGCTACATGGGTCATTTTAGTCGTTTAATGAAGAAAAGCCTGCACTTAAGATGAAAAAATAATAATGGGCTTCGTGTATTGAATGATATGACACAAATCATTTTGCTCCTACTCAGGGTGAGAAATAGTGCTTCTATTTATAATGAGATTTCCGTTATAGGTCCTAATGTATTTTAAATTGTTTGCCTTTTATAAGTAGTGGAATAAACTTATTAGCAATGATATTTCGCGTATCTTTTCTCACAAATTTAAGGTCTGTACTCCTATTTTCAAAGGATTAATGACACTTTCCACATATAGGTCACTTATACAATTTACTCAATGTTAACTTAAACTAAGTATGTAGGAATATTTACGGTTCCTTGCTTATCTTTGTGTCGATTCATAACAGTATTTTCAAATTATTATGTGTTAATGCTCATATTTCATAATAAACGTGAGGCGCAAAGCATTTTTTTTTTATGTTCTTTGGTTACAGTGTTGCCCTTGTCATTCTGTGACAAAAGGGGGAATAGGTTGGATATGTTTTTGTTTTTGTTATATATGTTTTTGATGGAGTAGATATTGTGCTTTTAAATCGATCTATATATATCTACTTGATGTACCTAAACATTTTTGAGGTTGATTATATAATATATTCAATTTTGCTAAATTAAGTTTGATATTTTAGTAGTATCGAATTGTCTTATTGGTATGTTGGATTGCATTGGTATTATATCTTGATTTAGCATGCATGATTGAAATTGAATAGTTTTATATGTTTCGTAGATTACATATATTTTATAAACTATTTGAACTGCTTTACTTATACTGTTTTCCACACATTTCACACTGGGTGTTGAGTTGTCTATTTCAGGAAACAGATGCTGATTAAAATGTAGAATTCTTTCAAGTCAGTTAATTGTGTCATAGGTGGTTGAGTCTGTATTTCATATTTGATTGTTGCCTTGATTTTAGTTAGTAGTTTTGTCACAAAATGCTAAAGGGGGAGCTTGCTAGGTTTTAATTATGTAATTGGCAATTCTGTAAACAAAAGGGATTTCATTGTAAATGATGTAAAAAGTCAAGAAGTAATGTGTAATTATATGAAAATTGGTTTGTTAGGTCTAGGGTTCACTTGACTGTCGCTATGGATTGGCTCGAGCGTCAAAAACAAAAGGAAAATACGGCGCGAATTTTCACTTGACTGTTGCTATGGATTGGCTCGAGAGTCAAAAACAGAACCTCCAATACTCGACGTCGCCCTGCCTTAGCTCGAGTGACAGGGTTGTCCGGGAAATTTTTATTTCACGATTTAAAAGATTTTTCCTCGGCCTATTACTTTTCTAACCTACCTATAAATACCAAAACATATCTGAACGTGAAAATTAAGGTTGATCATTAAGAGAGCTTCATCAGAGAGAATACCATCATATGCCACTTTCAACCTTCGTCTTGTGAGTTTGTTTTGGTGACAAAAACATCAATTTCGTGATCCAAATACCAAACTGTTCTTTCCATCACATCTGTCAGAGTTGCTGAAGATCGAGGGAAGTTCATTGGAAGTTCCATCCATTGAAGAACGCGGTGTTTTTATT